CAAAAGTGAGAAATACCCAATCCCCTCCCCTCTATACGCTTGAAGCTTATTCCTTGGTAGCTTATTGCCGACGCTTGAGGGACTTCAAGAGGCCAACAATCACATGACAGCCTCATTGGAGTCACAAAAAATTGACGCCCTCGGTCTCGGCCAGATATGGGATTTTGAGGCCATCGCGTTCAACATGTCCTTTACCAATCTGAATTCCATCCTCGGACGTTTGCGTGCTACGAATATTCATGAAGACGATCGTCGTGATGTTCAGTTTGTTGTTGGGGTGTATGTGCATCCTATAATTCATCGAGTTTTTTCTGTCTTTTGCATTGCGCGACTTTTTCACATTGCCAAGCGGCGCTCTTACTACCCTCGTTCAGGTATGGGTCTATTACGGGACGGTATGTCCGCGCCTTAGCACCTAGCCTTGCCACCTAGTCGGCGCAGTCAAGTTCGTGGCCTCAGCGCAGTCAGGTTTGTGGCCTCAGCGTAGCGGCGGGAAAATCGGACCGTAGTAGCCAGAGTCGCAGTGCATTACAGGGCCTGGGTAGGGCACTCTTCTCCTCGGTCTCCGACATGACCCAGGCTATTCTTCTTTAAGCGGCCAGTGATGCGTACGTTATATTATCACGCGGGCGCTTGCGGCTCCGGGTCGGCCGGGGACGGAGCCGTAAGTAGAGTAGCATGTAGAATACCGTATGTGACAGTGGCATCGGAGGAGAGTATGGGGCTAAATGGGCCCCTCGGGGGTAGCTGGGTAGTAGAAGAAGATGCCGGTGGGATATGCGGGTGAAGAATATAAGCGTAGTAGAAATCCAGCTACGGAAATTTATGATAGCGGGATAGTAAACTCAGGGGCATAGTTTACTACCCTGCACCGCCTCGCGGACCGCGCCGCCCTCGCCACCGTGCCAAGGTGACCCTCACGACCAACCCCCGCTGCGACGGTTAGTCGGTGGCCAGGGCTTGCGCCGCCGGCTGGCTCGTTCGCCGAGCATGTAGAGAATAGCCTGGCTAAATTTCCCGCGATCGAGCTATTTCAAACTTTGGCCCGCTATGGGCGCCGTTGAGGAGTACCGCTCGGCCTTCCAGACCGGCTTGAGTCAACCGGGTGATGTGTAACTTTGCTCAACACGGCGTGGGTTGTTTCGGCAGATATATCTTTCGATAATATATTTGCGCGTTCCCTTGCGATTTGCACCGAACTTAAAGGCCTGCGCACGCGAAGCACAAGCACAGGACTCGATACAGAGCGCGAGAACGGCTCGATCGCTGAACCACGCGCAAAGCGTGCGGTTTGAGCACGTTACCGCTCGCCGCGAATGCGTTCCGCGCCGTTGCAGGCCAAACCACGCGGCACAACTATGCGTAGCAATACTGTCGAGACTCAAACGGCTTCAGCTGGTCGCGCAACGGCCCTACCGCCGATCCTGAACCATCGATGAGTGTGGTTAGCTCGATCGCGGGAAATAATGCGGGGGGTATTCTCCGTATGAGGTACCCCGCGAACCCCCCCTATATAAGCACCCCTACGTTTAGAGGCGCATTAAGGACAAGCACCCCGGCTAGTAGAGCGAGTACAATAGTAGTAAGCCTGAGCCCCATGACCAATTGGCGGGCCCGGGTGTTAGAATCCGATTAGGCTCCCGAGTTTACAAGTCGCTAGGTCGACCCCGCGCCGATTCCCCCTCGCCGACTGTATTTACGGAGACCTAGTACAGCAAGGCTCATGACCAATTGAGGCTCGCCGACGTAACACCGACACATGTTTTGCAATATAAGCGGTGAAGTGCCGCGAGAGCCCGTGATTTCGAAGACCTCGGGGCACGTTTTTGAAAGACGATTAATCGAGAAGTCCTTGGAGGCGTCGAAAGGTGTCTGCCCTGTCACGGGCAACGAACTGAGTGTGTCAGACTTGCTTCCGGCAAGCCACAGCGTCGGTATTTTAGCGACCAGCCCTCTTCGCAAGACTGTAATTATTTGAGTCCGTAGGTTGAGGCGAATCTTGCGGTACGCCCGCGGCCGTTGACAGCAACGTCGCTCCCGGGGATGCTAGCGATGTTTCAAAATGAATGGGATGATGTGATGCTGGAAACCCACGTTATCAAACAACAGCTTCACGCAACCCGCAAAGAACTCTCGCATGCACTTTACCAACACGATGCAGCGTGTCGTGTGATTGCGCGTCTTGTGAACGAGCGGGATGAAGCGCAGAGGCTCGTGGCCGAATTGCAGCGCAGTCTCGCGGGCAAGCTAACGTCAGAAATATCAAGTAACAGACCGAATATTAGCAAGGGTGAGCTAGACCCCGAAGTCATCACGCGTTTGACAGATTTCTGGAAGAAAACATCCAGGTCACGCAAGAAAAGACCAGTGTCGAGGAAACTGAGCCCTGCTGAAACAATAATTGGCTGGTCGAAGAAGACGTCCATGGAGTTGTTTGACTCAAATTCGGGTGCAACAGATGTCGCTATTTGCCAGCTTTCAGGTGCAATCGTCTGTGCTGGCGGAAAATCTGGCGTTGCTTGGCTCGCCGCGGCCAGTGCCCCTGCCGCCACAAGTAAAGATTGTGTCGCAGATACATGTTCCATCGTTCCGGGTAGTGCATCCTCACCGGGCACGGTGTTTGTGACCTCAGGCGGCGACAAAATAACTCTGTGGAAAGCCAACGAGGAGGACCTCTCAACCCTGGCGTCTGTGAAAGTCCCTGGCGCTGCATCTGTGGCAGCTCATCCAACGGGAAGCTATGCAGCAATTATTAGCAGCAATGCAAGCTGGGGTCTCGTGGCGTTTGGCGCTGAGATGAGTACGCTATGCGAGCTAAGTCGGGTGATGCCTGATAATCCTAGCGAAGCTCCGTCTGCGCCACTCAAGTTCCATCCAGATGGCCTCATTCTTGCAACGCCGACAACTTCATCACAGGGGCATATTGTCCGTATTTGGGATGTCAAAGAGCAGAAGAGTGTTCACTCTTTCGAAGGACATGCGGCACCTATCTCGTGCGTTGCCTTCTCAGAGAATGGCTATTACATGGCCTCCTCTTCTACCGATACCACCGTCAAGATTTGGGACCTCCGTAAACTCACCGAATTCAAAACGATCAATAACTGTGATGGGGTAACTGCCCTAGCCTTCGACCGCAGTGGCAAATACTTGGCTCACGCCTCTGCCACACGCATTCAAATTAACGTGGTGAAGGAATGGAGCACACTGAGTGATCTTGAAGTAAATGGACAGATTCGTGCGCTTGACTTTGGTATCGATGCAGAATTTGTCGCAGCTGCCTCTTCCAATGGCTATCTCGACTTTTTCGGTTCGCGCAACTAGTACTAAAGCTTGGTGTGTTCGTCTTATACTGGCCTTGTGACCTTCATGCTACAATTGCTCGATCAGACAAGCTAAGAGAGTTACCGGCGTAAGTCCTACCGTTTAGCTCTGCACGTGAAATGCTCTTGAGCCAAGTATTAATGTACTGTGAATTAAAACTGCGAGTCACAAGCTGGCCACAACAGCGTGTTCCAGCGAGAGTGCAATGCTGCGCCAGCTCAACATGCTGGCTGTATAGAAGTATCCACTTCTGCGACTCGAAAACAGCAAGGCGGGCAGAGTCAGCCAAGTCCCCGAGCTGGTGGCACATGGCCAGAGCGGTCTCAAAAATGGTCTTCCTACATGGAGTTCGCTTCCGAGGAGTGATGCGATAGCACCAGAGGCGGCCGGCCCCACTTGTGTCCGAACGCGGGGAATTCGGCGCTTTCCAGTTTGGGCCCGGGGCCCCGGCGCCTGAGTAAAGCCGAACCCGGGAAACACGACGCGTTCTAGTTTGGACCCCACCCGGGCCCCCGGCGCCTGAGTAAAGCCCCCAGTCGCCAACCAGCGTCGCCGGCCCCAAATTGCCGGGGACGCCAGCCCGCGGGAAATTCGACGCATTCTAGTTTAGACCCCGCCCGCCCCCCCCCGGCGCCTGAGTAAAGCCCCCAGCCGCCGACCCAAAATTGTCGGGGGCGTTTCGGGTTCCCTGGGGGCCCGTCCGGCGCAGGGGGGGTTTCTGGGCGGGGTTCTGCCGCCGGCGGCGGCCGCGGGGCCGCGGGGCCTGCTAGAACAAACTAGAGCGGTTCTAGTTCCAGTATACCGGCTCCGGGTGCCCGGGGTTTCTAGCCGGGCCACGATGCGAGACACAGTTACCGCGCCCGGCCTATCTGGAGAGGCTTCGGGGTGCGGGGGGGTGGTCGACACAACAGGGGGTGCGAGGGGGGCACAGTGGGTGCGCGACGGGCGGCCGCCGGCCCCGCGGGAGCCAGCGGAATTCCAGTTCAGGACTCGGATTCCGCTTTTCCGGTGCCGTTAGTAGATGCAGCAGTTCGCTCGAGTACTGAGCTTCTATAGGTGCTGGTCTACAGTCACTAGCCTGCACCATACTTCAGGTATTGGTTGTACCCTGCTAGTACTGTAGTAG